CCTTGTCTAACTCAATGAAACTAAGCCATGCTATGTGGGGCCACCCAAGACGGACGGGTCATGGTGGAGACTTCTGACAAAATGTGGTCCACTGGAGAAGGGAATGGCAAACCACTGTTGCCAAGGCAACAGTATTCTTGCCTTGAGAACCCCATGAACACTATGAAAAGGCAAAAATATAGGACACTGAAAGATGAAGGCTCCAGGTCGGTAGGTGCCCAATACGCTACTGGAGATCAGTGGAGAAATAACTCCAGAAAGAATGAAGAGACAGAGCCAAAGCAAAAACAACACCCAGCTGGAGATGCGACTGGTGATAGAAGCAAGGTCCGATGCTGTAAAGAGCAATATTGCATAGGAACCTGGAATGTTAGGTCCATGAATCAAGGCAAATTGGAAGTGGTCAAACAGGAGAGCGCAAGAGTGAATGTTGACATTTTAGGAATCAGCAAACTAAAATGGACTGGAATGGGTGAATTTTTTTTTTCCATTTATTTTTATTAGTTGGAGGCTAATTACTTTACAATATTGTAGTGGTTTTTGCCATACATTGACATGAATCAGCCATGGATTTTCATGTGTTCCCCATCCTGAACTCCCCTCCCAACTCCCTCCCCATCCCATCCCTCTGGGTCTTCCCAGTGCACCAGCCCTGAGCACTTGTCTCATCCATCCGACCTGGACTGGCGATCTGTTTCACACTTAATAATATAGATGTTTCAATGCTATTCTCTCAGATCATCCCACCCTTGCCTTCTCCCACAGAGTCCAAAGTCTGTTCTATACATCTGTGTCTCTTTTTCTGTCTTGCATATAGGGTTATCATTACCATCTTTTAAAATTCCATATATATGCATTAGTATACTGTATTGGTGTTTATCTTTCTGGCTTACTTCACTCTGTATAATGGGCTCCAGCTTCATACATCTCATTAGAATTGATGCAAATTAATTCTTTTTAATGGCTGAGTAATATTCCATTGTGTATATATACCATAGCTTTCTTATCCATTCGTCTGCTGATGGGCATCTAGGCTGCTTCCATGTCCTGGCTATTATAAACAGTGCTGTGATGAACATTGGCGTACATGTGTCTCTTTCAGATCTGGTTTCCTCAGTGTGTATGCCCAGGAGTGGGATTGCTGGGTCATATGGCAGTTCTATTTCCAGCTTTTTAAGGAATCTCCACACTGTTCCCCATAGTGGCTGTACTAGTTTGCATTCCCACCAACGGTGTAAGAGGGTTCCCTTTTCTCCACACCCTCTCCAGCATTTATTGCTTGTAGACTTTTGGGTAGCAGCCATTCTGACTGGCGTGTAATGGTACCTCACTGTGGTTTTGATTTGCATTTCTCTGATAATGAGTGATGTTGAGCATCTTTTCGTGTGTTTGTTAGCCATCTTTATGTCTTCTTTGGAGAAATGTCTGTTTAGTTCTTTGGTGGAATGGGTGAATTTAACTCAGATGACCATTGTATCTACTACTGTGGGCAAGAATCCCTTAGAAGAAATGGAGTAGCCATACAGTCAATAAAAAAGTCCGAAATGCAGTACTTGGATGCAGTCTCAAAAATGACAGAATGATCTCTGTTCGTCTCCAGGGCAAACCATTCAATATCATGGTAATCCAAGTCTATGCCCCGACCGGTAAGGCTGAAGAAGCTGGAGTTGAATGGCTCTATGAAGACTTACAAGACCTTTTAGAACTAATATCCCCCAAAAGATATCCTTTTGATTATAGGGGACTGAAATGCAAAAGTAGGAAGTCAAGAAACACCTGGAGTAACAGGCAAATTTGGCCTTGGAGTGCGGAATGAAGCAGGGCAAAGGCTAATAAGAGTTTTGCCAAGAGAACACACTGGTCATAGCAAACACCCTCTTCCAACAACACAAGAGAAGACTCTACACATGGGCATCACCAGATGGTCAACACCAAAATCAGATTGATTATGTTCTATGTAGCCAAAGATGGAGAAGCTCTATACAGTCAGCAAAAACAAGACCGGGAGCTGACTGTGGCTCAGATCATGAACTCCTTATTGCCAAAATCAGACTGAAACTAAAGAAAGTAGGGAAAACCACCAGACCATTCAGGTATGACCTAAATCAAATCCCTTAAAATTATACAGTGGAAGTGACAAATAGATTTATGGGACTAGATCTGATAGACAGAATGCCTGATGAACTATGGATGGAGGTTCGTGACATTGTACAGGATCCAGGGATCAAGACCATCTCCAAGAAAAAAAAATGTAAAAAAGGCAAAATGGTTTTCTGAGGAGGACTTAAAAATAGCTGTGAAAAGAAGAGAAGTGAAAAGCAAAGGAGAAAAGGAAAGATGTTCCCATTTGAATGCAGAGTTCCAAAGAATAGCCAGGAGAGATAAGAAAGCCTTCTTCAGTGATCAGTGCAAAGAAATAGAGGAAAACAACAGAATGGGAAAGACTAGAGATCTCTTCAAGAAAATTAGAGATACCAAGGGAACATTTCATGCAAAGATGGGCTCAATAAAGGACAGAAATGATATGGACCTAACAGAAGCAGAAGATATTAAGAAGAGGTGGCCAGAACATACAGAACTATACAAAAAAAGATCTTCATGGCCCAGATAACCACGATGGTGTGATCACTCACCTAGAACCAGACATCCTGGAATGTGAAGTCAAGTGGGCCTTAGGAAGCATCACTATGAACAAAGCTAGTGGAGGTGATGGAATTCCACTTGAGTCGTTTCAAATCCTAAAAGATGATGCTGTGAAAGTATTGCACTCAATATGCCAGCAAATTTGGAAAACTCAGCAGTGGCCACAGGACTGGAAAAGGTCCATTTTCATTCCAATCCCAAAGAAAGGCCATCCCAAAGAATGCTCAAACTACCACACAGTTGCACTCATCTCACACGCTAGTAAAGTCATGCTCAAAATTCTCCAAGCCAGGCTTCGGCAATATGTGCACCATGAACTTCCAAATGTTCAAGCTGGATTTAGAAAAGGCAGAGGAACCAGAGATCAAATTGCCAACATCCACTGGATAATCAAAAAAGCAAGAGAGTTCCAGAAAAACATCTATTTCCGATTTAGTGACTATGCCAAAGCCTTTGACTGTGTCAACCACAATAAACTGAGGAAAATTCTGAAAGAGATTGGAATACCAGACCACCTGACCTGCCTCTTGAGAAATCTGTATGCAGGTCAGGAAGCAAGTTAGAACTGCACATGGAACAACAGACTGGTTCCAAATAGGAAAAGGAGTACATCATGGTCATGTATGGATGTGAGAGTTGGACTATAAAGAAAGCTGAGCACTGAAGAATTGATGCTTTTGAACTGTGGTTTGGAGAAGACTCTTGAGAGTCCCTTGGACTGCAGGGAGATCCAACCAGTCCATCCTAATGGAGCTCAGTCCTGAGTGTTCATTGGGAGGACTGATGTTAAAGCTGAAACTCCAATACTTTGGCCACCTGATGTGAAAAGCTGACTCATTTGAAAAGACCCTGATGTTGGGAAAGGTTTAAGGCAGGAGGAGAAGGGGACAATAGAGGATGAGATGGTTTAATGGCATCACTGACTCAATGGAGATGAGTTTGAGTAAACTCTGGGAGTTGGTGATGGACAGGGAGGCCTGGCACGCTGTGGTCCATAGGGTCATGAAGAGTTGGACACGACTGAGCTGAACTGAACTGAAACTGTGTGGTTATCCTCCTTTTGGAGATGGCAGGACTGATTAGTGGACTCATGCGCAGGAAGTCTGAGCCTTCCATTTTGTAGCTTCCCATCAATTTTTCTCCTAATGGCTTCAGTATCCACTGATGATTTTTTGCCTAGAATCCATGAGAATTTGTAAAATAGTTCTTTTCAAACACCACCCCCCATCTCCCATAATTCCTTTTAAATTGAGTTTTTCAGAAAAAAGGAAATTTACCACATTGTTTACTCTGAAAATGCAGTTTGTTCAAGAACAGGCACTAGGAATGCTGACTTTAGAAATGGAGTCATGCTCTAAAATCATGGTGTTTGTTTTTCCTCTTTGACATTTTGCTGTCCAAACGGACCATCATCTAAAATCAAGCTTAGCCGCAGATGGCCAGCCTGCGGGCCTCTGCTCAGTTCCTGCCTTCCGGCTGAGCTCACCTTCTCTGGGGCGGGGAGCTGACTGCTTCCATTCCAGCTTCATGCAGCTCTGATGTTGCGAAATTCTTTGTCTTTCTCATGTAGTGATTCCTTTATCAATTCCACTATTCAAAAAATAGTATTTGTTTTACACATTTAAAGATTTGAGTGGTGCAGTTCCTGGTGGAGCCAGACTGTGACAAACGAGGGGTATACACAAGGATTAACCCCCCAATCCTCACCTGCTCTCTGAAGCCTACTCAAACAAACACAATAAACAGTTTGGTAACACGCAAATCAGCTTCAAGGAAGTCCTCTAGGCCTCACCTTCTTCCTGATGGCCACTCCCTAAGCCCCCACTAAACACATTCTGGAGTTGGCAATGCATCTAAACCTTATTCCACAGAGTGGTTCTCAAGTATTTGAATGTGCTCTATATGGCCCGTTTCTTCTTGTCCCCCTGGAAAGCCTAATCTTCCCACTTCAAACCATTTTGATATGTGGTCCCGTGAAACTGACAGTATGGAGCGTGGTGGTCTCACCTCCTTCATCTTAGCAGCCCTGCTTCTACTGAAGGGGTACTTCAATTGGCGGGGGACTAACTGAACAACCTGGCGCTGCTTTTGCCTTTGCATTTCCTGTTCCACCAGAGGCACTCATTTGCCCGGAGAGGTTTAGCATATTACAGCAAGGAGAAAGAGAAGCAATAAGCAACTTGAGAGTCTGCAGCAAAATAAAAATCATAAAGCCAGCCTCTGTCATTTAATTTTCTAAATCAAACTCCAGTTAACCTATCAAGGCGATGGTAGAGAGAACTTGGGAAACAAAGAAGTTCCTGCTACACACAAAGGTGAGAAATCATATTACTCTCAGCCCTGGGGAAGTGCAGAGGATGAAAGAGATGGAGTGGAGGTGTGTGGACTTCCTACTAGCAAGGTCTAGACAGCCGTGCAGGAAACCAAGAACAGAGGCTGGCGATATCAGTACTGCCCTTAGATCTGGGCATGAAGGCCCCACTGCAGTGCTCCCCGTGAGGCTGACGGGCCCCCTTTCCGGAGCGTTCCCCCAGGTACCAGGGGTCACAGAACTCCAACGGGAGCCCACTTTCAGGGCCTGCACGTGGCTCTCTGGACTGTGCTGCTTCTGTGTGCGCGCCCTGGGGCCCAGGTGTGACGACGGAGCAGCTGCCTCGGGGAGCTGGAGGCGATGTGGATCTTGTCACAAGCATAACGGAGCCAGCCCTTCAAGGCGTGCGAGGGTGCCTCTGCTGGGGGGAGGGCTGGCCATGGGCTGTGATCCCCGAGGCCGCCAAGATTTCTAGACTTCAGCCTGTTTCCTTTGAGATGCTTGACAGGGTGACGGAGATGGGTAAGGAGGCCGGACACATGATGTGGGCAAAGACAACTTGGCTCAGACTGTGTGGAGCAACCTCATGTTGGGATGGAAGAGGTGCAGGGGGACGGAGAAAGATCAGGTGTGGGGTGGGTGTGTGCCCGAGTCACCCCCTACACTCCCTCCAAAAAGAAAAGAAAGCGGATGCGCATTCTGCTGATATGTCTAACCACGGCAGGGAGCCAGGGCTGGCAAGCCAGGGGGTACCTTTTCCCTTTGCCTCTTCTGCTCCAAGCGGGCAGCAGTCATTGCCAAATCACGGCCTGGAGGGGAAAGTGAAATCAACCGTGCACTTAAGCTATTCGCAATTATTCTGCATCACTTGCTGCCCAGCCCCCAATCTGTCATTACCATGTACCTCCTAGTTGGAGAAATGAAAGTCACTCAGTCATGTCTGACTCTTTGTGACTCCATGGACTGTCCCATGGGATTCTCCAGGCCAGAACACTGGAGTGGGTAGCCTTTCCCTTCTCCAGAGGATCTTCCCAACCCAAGGATCGAACCCAGGTCTCCCACATTGCAGGCACATTCTTTACCAGCTGAGCCACAAAAGAATGTAATTCCCTAGCGTGAATTCTAACTCTTAAAATATTAGACATATAGTTTATGTGGTGCCCCTGTGACCTGAAGTCCCAGGAGAAAGTTTTCACTTTCCTCTACATCGAGGGTGGCTCAGTAACACTGACGTGGGAGGGGAGGTTACCAGATATATGAAATGAAGACCATGTTTCAGGAATAAAGACCCAGGAGTTTCTGCAAAGGCCAAAGAGATGGGATGGCATGTGTAGGGGACTGGTGGGTACAGAGAAGTCTCACTAGAATCAGGGAGATTGGTGGTGGCCTGGGATTAGAGCAAAAAGGCCACAGCCCTGGGACTGTGTGATCAAAAGCAAATGGCAGAAATCCACCTGGTAAGGCCATACTAGACCAGCGGCAGACGCCCAGCAGGCACCACATCAGCACAGCAACCGCAGGAGTGCCCCCGACTCCCCCCACTGCCTGCCAGGGGACACATACACAGGGACAAGGAGAAGGAAAAACGAAACAAAACCCTGCTATCAGGAGAGAGAGACCCCTTAGCTGACAGGCGCAAGTGGTTCTGTCCCTTGACCTCGCCCACCCTTTTACAGGCAAAGACACGGGCGAGTGGAGCCTGGGTCCACTTGAGAAAGTCTGCCTTCGTTCCATCTCAGCCCTATAACCACAGACTGAGACCATACTGACCTTTGTAGGGTGGGAGCAAAGAGCACACTGTTGAATCACACTCAACCGTTACCTCAAGCTTTCTACAATCTAAGTTTGTAAATAATTATGGGGTTCCTACTTCTTCCTCCTTCCAAGGTACTTTTTCTAAATCAGTGATTGGTTCTCAAATTTCAAAGTGCACCAGAGCCACCTGGAGGACTTTTAAGAGTTTTATGATTTTCTCCATACAGGTTTGGACATCTTAATTTTATAGATATGTGGTTTCTGTTCGTTTTTTTGTAATCATTAAGAGGAATCTTCTCTTTAAGCACACCTTCTAACTAGCTTAGGTTTATATGTAAAGTTTTTTATTCTTTTTAGTAGACATTTTTATTGAACTATAATTACACACAGAGAAAAGTGCACAAATCTTAAGTGTCTAGCTTGATATTCATAAAGTGAATGCACCTATGTAACCAGCACCCAGATCATGAAACAGAACATAACCAGCACCACACGCCCTGCCGTGTGCTCTTCCAGTCCCTGTGGGGCAAAAGAAACCAGATGAGAACTAATGTGTCCATTATGACTCCATTCAGCTGCGGCTAAGTCGCTTCAGTCGTGTCCGACTCTGTGCGACCCCAGAGACAGCAGCCCGCCAGGCTCCCCCGTCCCTGGGATTCTCCAGGCAAGAACACGGGAGTGGGCTGCCATTGCCTTCTCCGATGCGTGAAAGTGAAAAGTGGAAGTGAGGTTGCTCAGTCCTGTCTGACTCTTCACGACCCCATGGACTCCTCCATCCATGGGATTTTCCAGGCAAGAGTATTGGAGGGGGTTGCCATTGCCTTCGCCGACTCCACTCAGAGAAAGTTCAAAAACAGATGGTGATTTAAGTCATGATAGTGCTTACATTTGAGAAGTGAGGTAGTGACTAAACAAGGGCACTGATTTCTGACATCATTCATGATTAATTCCGCCCATTTTGAACTTCATCTAAATGGCATCAGAGCATGCACTCCTCTCTATGCCTGGTGAAAGCTACTGATATTTACGTATTAGTTGCATGCAACTGCTACTTATACTAAGTTCTCATAGCTTTCCAACAAATTCCTTTAGGTTTTCCAGATATAAAATCATATTTGCAAATAGTTTCCCTCCATCTTTTCAGTTCACAAGTCTTTCATCTCATTTCATAGACTAAAACCTCCAACACAAAATTAAGTAATAGAGGAGGTACTAGGCCTTGTTCCTGACTTTAGTTGGAAAGCCTCTCTCAACATTAACATGCTGGCTTCTGGGGAGAAGTACAATGTAAAATGAATTACTCAAAAGTTTCTGCTTATTGAGTATATTTAACATAAATGAATGGTCAATTTTGTCAAGTATCTTTGCTGCAAAGATGGAAATAATCACTATTTTTCTCCTTAACTCTTTAACATAATGTACTAATATTATTCTTGCATTCTTATAATAAACCCAAATTAATTATGACTTAATAGTGCTTTTGAATTATTTGATAATGTATTGTTAACATTTATGCACTGATATATTCATGTAAGAGCAGTCTATAATTTTCTCTTTGGTACAATCTTTGTTAGGTTTTAAAAAACAACGCCATCATGTTCACTTTACAAAATGAATTTAGAAGTCTTTTTTTTGTTTGTATTTTCTTACCCTGTGGGGTTCAAGAGTCTCTTAATAGCCCCTGGAATTGTTTAAACAATATTAGGATTATTTCATGACAGTCTGGTAGAAATACCCTTGAAACAATCTGGGCTTGATACTGTTTTGGTAAAAAGCCCATTTGTTTCAAATGTCTGTTTCAACTGGGTAATCTCGGCAATTGGCATTTTTCTAAGAAGAGTTATCATTTTCTAATTTATCATATAAAATTACATAGTGATATAATTTTGAAAAATTTCCTGGTTTATGGTTATTTCTCTTGCTATTGAAACTTTTCCTTTTTTTTGTTAGAAAGTCTGTCTTATCGCATCTTCCCCATTCCCCCTTCCCCATTTCTTTTAATCCTTTCCTTCCACTTCCTTTGGGTTTGCTTTTTCCTCCAGTTTTTAAGACTTGATTGTAATTCTTAGCTTTTCCCATTTTTACTGATCTTGTTCTGAAACTATACATTTCCTGTCGCAATAGTTTTTTCATAGTCTTGTGGTCATGTCCTTCTGGTGTGCTGTCATTGTCTGAGGGGACACCGGGCTCTCCTCTTCCTATTCCTCAAGACAATTCTGAAGAGGATTTGACAGTAATCCTTCTCAGGTTTTGTTTTTGGCCAAATGAGTTTTCCTGTACTTTTAAGGGGAAGCGGGGCCTAGGATGCCTCGTCTTTGTTCTCTGGCCCTGTAAGTTCCTGTTTCACTTTCACAAAGTGATCATCTGTGTCCATGTATCATGTCTATGTATACTGACCTTTCTTCCTGTATATCTGGACGCTCTCTTCTCTTTGTCCTATGGGACCTATCCGGTCCACTTTGGATTCTACCTTGAGCAGGGCTTTGTCTCATTAGGTTTAAGATGCAAACAGAACAGGGCCCAGGCTGCTCCCGCACAACGATCAGACCACACTATACTGATCTAACACTTACTGCACGTGGGGGCCTGTACGACCCCTTCCAGTTCCAGCTTTTGCTCAGACTGGCCCGCTGCACTTTCTAGTGAGAAAACTGTGGGCAGTGTTATAGCTCTGTTCTCAAGGCTGACAGAAACCAGCTGCCTGCCTTTCACTTCCTCCCACACAGATGCTGAAACTATGCTGGTCAGTGGGTTGTCCAACACTGTATTTTGAAGTTCATGGGGCCACCCTGTCATCTGGTTTTGTAGAATGGGATCTGTGGTGATGCTAGTTACTCTAGGGTCAAATGACAATATTCAGAAACTATCCTGCTGCAAATTGTCTTTCTAGAGTTTCAATTCTGTGGGATCTCTATTATAGGAAAGAGGTTTTAAAAACAATTTGAAGATGGTTATAACAGAAATTATAATTAGGAGTTTACTGTATTCAGGTAGTATGCTAAGTACTTAATATGTATTATCTCATCTGACCTTCTGGAGAAGGAAATGGCAACCCACTCCAGTATTCGTGCCTGGAGAATCCCCTGGACAGAGGAGCCTGGCGGGCTATGACCATGAAGGTCACAGAGTTGGACACAACTGAAAACTTAGCACGCATGCATCTGACCTTCAGAAAACCTTGTTAGATCCGCTCACCTCACTTTATCAAAGGGGAAGTTATGGTCCAGTATGACACTGGTGAACTGGCAGACCTGGGACTTAAACCCCAGTCATCTGACTCCAGAACACCTCTTTATGATAATGACACTCAAATGTTATCAGACCCAACAAAACATAGTTTCAAACGATGTACCCCTGTTGGAAAAAATTTCTATCTAAGTTTAAATATTTATAAATGATTGTTTAAAGATCTAATTAAAATGTACACATATTATAGGTCAAGTCTAAAAGCACTTGTAGATGATAAATAGGTTGAATTGTGTTTCAACAACCTGATCAACCTTGTTTTCATGCAGATGCCCAAAACAAGGGTTCTATCACAGTTTAAAAAAATACCATCCTGGAGGTGGGGAAAGAGCATAGGGAACAGACTGACTGAGACTTCATAATCCCCCTTCTCGTTCTACTACCACTGCTAAAGATCAAGTATACATATGAAATAGTGCTTATAATTTAGTTCATTCATACTTTCTTTTAAGTAACTATTTAGAAAAAGTTTGGAATAGCTTCTCCACAATTCACAGTGACCTGGTGGTTTTTTTGGTCAATGTGCTGTTGTGGAAGGTGAACATTGCTGGGCGACAGTTCCTTAAGAATACCTCTCAAGAGCACGTTAAATAGAATTGCACTGTAATATATAATCTTATGCTACTAAATTACACAAGGAGTTAGAAAATTTAGCAGTTTTATGAAATACTCTTGTTAGGGGAAGCACACTGATTGAAACCACCCACCCTGGCCAGGGACCATAGTAACCATTTGCATGAGTTGTTTTATGAAAGGAGATCCTGATAAGGAATAGGGAACTAATAAGCCACCACCAGCCGGAAGAGTTCAGGAAAGGTCGAGAGGAGACACTGCCTGTCTGTCCATTTCCCAGAATCCCTCTCGCTAGCATCCATCTTGGCTGAGCGATGCGTGCGCCACCAGGAAAGACTCTGAACTAGAACGATTGGCCAAAGACCACCCAGAAATTAATCCCATCACCATAAAACCCAAGACTTCGAGCCACGCGGCAGAGCAGTTCTCCTGGGTTCCCTTAACTACTGCTCTCCCCCCAGGCGCCCTTTCCCAATGAAATCTCTTGCTTTGTCAGCAGGTGTCTCCTCAGACAATTCATTTCCGAGTGTTAGACAGGAGCCCAGCTTCGGGCCCTGGAAGGGGTCTCCCTTCCTGCAACACTCTGACCTTGGAATTCTACTTCATACAAATATAGATACTAACTTTTTTAAGCTTCCAACCACTAATGGCAATTCAGGGAAAAAAAATTGGGGCTTTTTATATAATTCTAAAGCCATTACATACATGCCATCTTAATTCCTGATGTCTAAGAAATGTCTTAGTTTGAGATGTAGGTGTCTTAATTTGTCAGTATTTAAGACAGTGAAAACTGGAATAATTCATGGAAGGATGACATCTGTTGTTAGGTTTATTTTTTTCCCCACCATCAGTTCTCTGATTTTATTTCTATTAAAACAAACAAAAAAAATTGACTGGCAAACTGAGTTTTAAACTAAGCATGTGAATAATAAATGAATCATTTTGTCAAGTATATACTAGGTTTCCCCTGGGATCATTATTTAAGGGTACTTTTTTTTCACCACTAAAAAAGGAAAAATTTAGATATTATAATACATAAACAGTGATACTAGTAATTTAGTTTTTATCCTGATACTTTACTTGTAAACCTAAAAATCCAACATTTATTTCCACCAAGATTTTAACTTGAACCTAGTCCCTCTGGTGAAGTGATTTCCTTCTCTGTTTCAGAACTGCTCTCATAACTTTGTCACTGAGCAAACGGTGATGGGTGTGATTCATTGATAAGCTGAATACTAATAAAGGTAAGTTTTTATACCACTCCTTTATAATTCAGGTAGGTCACAGAATGAAGAAAACAGAACAATGAAAAGCAAACCCCAGTCCTTAACCTCTAAGGGATACATTACCTTCCCACTTACCTGAAAATATTACAAAAATATGAATGACTGTGTATGGAGCTATACCATTAAATTTAATTGAGTGGTGCTATTTTTTTTCACTTAAATGTTTACTTATTTAACTTCAAAAAATTAGAAAATCATCAGTTTGAAATCAGAAAAGCTAAAACACTGGGAGCAACAACAACAACAACAACAAAAAACCAAATGTTTAAAAATAACTCAGTTATAAAAATACAGTTTACAATTTATCTCAGAAAAAGAAACAAAACCACTAAATGTTTTTCCCTCTAGGTAACACGGCTTTCTCTGCAGAAAAGGGAAAAAAAAAAGCGACTAATGATTCGAGATTAAAATCAAACATAACTGTTATTTACCCCAGCAACATCTAAAACAGATGACCCACACAGCACAAAACTTTCCCATTCACAATCACATACAGTTAAATTACTTTCTCCTCAGTTACATAATAGTCTTTTTATAACAATCTCCCTTTAGGAAATTACTGTATTAGTTAAGCCTATTCATTCTTGCTATGAAGTTAATTTCATTTGTATATAGCCCACAAAAGTTTAATTGGCACATTTTATTTAAGAATAAGACAAAATAAGTCATTCTTCTTTTAAAAATTATGGGATCATCTGTTTTCAGAGAATAACCCCAGATACTTAATTCATTAAAGCAATGTTCCACCATAAGCAGTCAAGCTTTTTAAATGATCACTAAGTGCTCACCTGAAGATTACCAATGCTATGTGAACTGTAAACTTCTTTTGAAGATTCATGTCCATTTTATAATATGATACAATTCTGTACTGAAGTTTTTGTTTTTGTTTTTTAAAAAAAAGATAACCTACATACATACAGTTAATTTGCCTCAAAGAACTTAGAAATATAGTATAAACATTTAAGAACCATGATGGAGTCCACTGTGGTTCAAACTTCAACAAAGATTTTCTTGAAACCTAGTACAAAGGTTACTGGCTCAAGACCATATCCCAAAGTGACATCAGCATCCGATTGTAAGATTACCTCTTAAAAAAGAGCACACTTGGTTACACATGGCTTTTAACCTTGAGCTACAGTTAGGCTACAAATCCTCCCCACCACCCCCCAATCTAAAGCTAGTCATGTGGAGATGTGTACGTTCTCTGAGCACTGTTTAGAGTCCTTGGTTTTCCAGCTCTGATGGAGATCTCGCAGGCGCTCAGAAGTCCGTGTGCTTACATTCAGGGCAGGATGAACCTTACAAATGCCACTTTCCTCCATTAGTGACAGGCCACAAATTCCAAAGTATGCATGCAAAGCATCTGAAAATAAGACATTTTTTTTTTTTTTATCACAACAGGTATATTTGTACAAAATATTTAGCTACTTACCAGCCCATCACTACATTAAAAATACATTTAGAAAAATACTAAATAGTTTTGAAATATTTGCTTTCTCAAAGTCTCAAACCTCAAATTTTAAAAAACTGGATGATCAAATCAGATGATATTCAAGAAAATATCACTAACAAGGAAAACAGTTCCTAGCTTAAGAAAGTGAGTCCACCAACATCTTCTCTGACTGAAGAATAAACAGGAAGAGTACTAGCAAAGATTCCTCACTCTAATGGGTTTTCTCTTTTGCTGACAACAGACTATGGAAACAAAGATGTTTCTATCATAAAAGGAACTTTTCTTCTTAAAAATGAAAATAAACAAACCTCAGAATCTTAAGTAGCACTGCATTCCCTGCTAAGTTTTACCTCTGACAATTCCTAAACCACACAATGCCAACACTGTGTTAAACGGAAGAAGCCTGGGCAAAATAACCCATTCGGGAATGCTGTACTATATTTAATTTTCCTATTTCAAGTAATGTCAGTCACTCTAAAAATATCCGACCTGATAATAAAAACAAGCTCAGACATTCTGTTTGGTTGTAATAATGTGACTGTTCACACCAGAACCATTCTTCTGCACTGGCCTTACTGCAGTTTCCCATCTTTCAGGGGCACTAACTTTCTCCCATTAAATGACCACTGAAATCACACGGCTGTTGCCTGCATGACAGCCTTATATGGAGTTCTAAAAGTGCTCAGAGTTCTGCTGTTATGGGAACACTTACAAAAAATAGATTTTGTACTAGTCAAAATTTTTTTCTATTTTTGAGTTGGTCATTATTTATAGCTTCATAGGCTATTAAGGTTCAAAACATCTTACCAAGTCAAAGTGTATCAAAAGAATTAAAGAGAAAGGTTGACTTACATAAGTATCATTTAGTTTTCATAAAAGGAATGACAGATAGTTGTACTTATTCAGAGTTATTTGTGCAAAAGTTATTTCACCAGTTAGGCCCACGTTAATCCCCTTTTATGTTTTTTTCAGAGAATGCTTAAGACTTCTTCTAGCTCAATTTCCTCTAATTTTCACACACACACACAAAAAATTTGATTTTTCCTATTCTATTTTTCTTGCAGTTATGTTAAACTACAAAAGGCACAAAGCAACATTAAATTTTATTGTCTAGAAATGAGAAAACTTTTCTAGGAAAAAAATGCAACAGAAAATACACTCAATAATGTAAAATAGGATCTTACACGTTCCAGGTAATGTAAAAATAAATTTTTATTCCTCAAAAGGATTTTTTATAAAAGTTAATGAAATAGAAGTTAAACATTTCAAACCTTAAAAATAAATAATAATCTCATCTGTAGGTGGTGATGTATTCAAGCACTTTAGATGTAGAAATATACATTTTCTTCATAGTAAAACTTAATTCCTTTCATAAGTTTTTCCTGTTAATGTATGTAAAATCTCTTTGTGTCAAATCTGTCAATAGATTGATTTATTAGAACCAAGAATAAGCTAATTTAAAAAATCCTATTAAAATAATTTTTATAACAGCTTTGGAAACAAATCTTTTTCCACATAAATTCAATTCATCATACAACGATTTCTATGCTCTGTAATGTATAAGATTAGAAGACATTGCAACACATCTATAAAGAATATTACAACCAATTATTTACACAAATATTAAACTTAGCAACTGACCCCTCTACAAAAAAGCTCCAAAAATTTTCTTTTAAAAAAGCTCTTGTAAAAAAATCAAAATGTATCTCAATATGTTTATATAAGAAATGTTTTTCAAGAGTGTCATTTCCCTATTCTCATTATTTGTTAAAAGAGTACAAGGTACTGACTGAAAACAATGGAATTGATACCAAAACAATTGTTTTTTTGAGGGACTTTTAAAACATATTTACAGCTATGGGTTATAGATGCCAAAAAATTCTAAATATTCCCAGGTGGCGCTAGTAGTAAAGAATCCACCTGCCAATGCAGGAGATGCAAGAGACATGGGTTTGATCCCTGGCTTGGGACGATCCCCTGGAGTAGGAAATGGCACCCCACTCCAGTATTCTTGCCTAGAAAATCCCATGGATAGAGGAGCCTGGTGGGCTACAGTCCATGGGGTCGCAAAAAGTTGGACGTGACTGAGCAACTAACACTTTCTAACACTTGGAAATAAAAAGCATTGTACTTTTTAAATATATTTTGCATGAAAAAACAAGTAAATATGGATATAAGGAAATATTCCTGCTCTCTTCAGGTACAAGAATATGATTCCATGAGCCCTTTATTTGTATTTCAATTCAGGTACATATTCTAACTGTAACAGTTCTATGACAAGAGATGAGGTAAAGAGGTTCTAGGCTAACAATAAAAACCATGATATCATTGCAATGTTGTAAAAGCAATCATTTCTTAAATCTAGTTTCATGTATTTATAGCCAATACTTTGTCAATCTAATTATTAAAAGTGTCAGCATTCTGACTTATTTTTAACAAACTCTTGAATTGAGATTTTGGAGGCTGTAAATAGATCATTTTACTGGAGGTGAAACCTAAGAGGGAGGGGGAAGTAGCTTGGAGAATGACTTCTGAAAAGAGTAAGAATTAGTTCTCTCTTGGATTTAAGAGTAATTTATTCTACACATAGCTCAAGTGACAGCTAATACTCCTAAAGATTTTGGATGAACCAAATTATTCTACTTTGAATTGGGACCATTCAGACACACCTGTCTTACTGTCTGCAATAAAATAATACATTGCTAAGTGAAATACTTGGGAAAAAAGGCAAACTATACCAGTATCTTGATAATTAAACCCTTCCTTTACACCCTGAAGATCCTAAATCTACTGTAAACTTAAACAATTTACCTTCTTAAAAACCTTACTTAAAGTAAGTTTATAACTGTGGCTATATTTTCTATCATATACCCTTTCTGACAAACACTTAAAGATCTATTCAATAAATAAAACAAAGGTTGCTCTAGATTTACACAAAAAATAAATTACCTGGATGACTATCTGGCCACTTGGCAAATCCACCAACGAGGCGATCTTGAGTTGATAAGATGTAATTTCTATTTTTCTCAAAATTAGTATACTGGAAAATTTTCAGAAGCTGAAACGACAGTAACAAATATAAATTTATTGACATAAAACTTTCATATCAACACATGGCTCAATTTTCAGATATATATAATCTAAAAACACTTTTCTCTAGTAAAGGCTCTTAAAGCAAGCCTAAGGGACTTGGAACATTTAAAATTATCAACCACATTAACTTTTAAAAAATCATCAACTCTCATTTTCGTGACCCACTCACTATTTCTTTCTTTTAAAACAGATCCAAATGACTTCTCTGCAACACATTCAAAACACAACTTGCCAATGTGTTCAACTTCACCAGTTATTTTTACAAGGGCAATTTTATTTATCCACATTCTAACTCTTAATAATAGATTTCTGAACTGTTAGTTATGAACTATAGTAATGATAAGTAAAAACATTTTTTAAAAAAAGACAATAAAAATTATTAACCACATGCTAAAGGCAATTTTGAGAATAGTAAAAAATTAAAGCTCTTTAATTAAGAAAGATAAAAGGTGAGACAAATACAATTTAAGTAGCTTAAAGATTCAAGACATGTATTGTTCTTTCTCCCAAGATCCTATTAAATAGAAAAAATAAAGGATAAATCAAATTGTGAAGAGAAGAGGGTCAGGGGATGGTGAGCACATAAGAAAGCTCAAGAGTCACAAAGCAGCTGAAAGTGTGTTAATAATATTAATCAAAGAGCCACAAAAAAAATTTAAAAATTAACAAAGCAGTATCATGTCTCAAAAAGCAAAATAAAACCAATTACAAAGTATGGTACTAATAAGAAACAAACTTATTCATTCATTTTGATTTAATTAATAGAATATAAGCAGTGACTCTTTAGACTCCTGCTACTAGAAACACTTTCTAGTATCAAGTGGCACATGGGTCATTAAGAAGAAAGAAGAAACTATAATCTTACTTGGTTAAGCAATAAAGAATATTTACAAAATTCTAATAAGTGATTATTAGTTTTTCAAATTTTAAAATCAACCTACAGGCAAAGCATAAAATATTTGATCATTGTTACTGAGCAAAATACGAATGTTACCTAACTTGACATTACACCAATAAAGGTAAACTGACAGATTTAGAAGGAAGTGGAAGAGAAAAGGTTCAAAACTTAAAAAAAAAAAAACAAAAAAAACCCAGTAACAATTTGCTGGAAAAAAGGGAGACCAAAATCTTCATTTTTCACTGCTGGGAATCAAAGATAATGTCTAAATGTGTTAAGTCAAGCAATCAGCATGTTTAAAGTTATTTAAAGTTATCCGCAAGAATTAAAATTTTTAAAAGTTGCCTCTAGAAAGTTGTCAAAGGCCACCAAAATCATAAAAGACTCAAGAATGAACCTGAAGGGGCTCCTACTGGTTAGAGATGGGACGATCTGAGCATTAACAAGAACAATGTAATGGACTAAAACAGATAAAACATATTAAAATCTATGAGTTCACAATGGTACTCAAAGGGTACAAAAGAAAAAAACCCTAAAACCCAATTATTTTATTGGAAAACTTTAGAGGATGCTAGAGAACCAACTCAATGGATGGAATGAACACTATTCAAATTAAAATAAATAATCATCTGTTTTTCTCTGTACAACCACATCTTAAAGAGAAATTCTTTACAAAAGGACACTAGTTAGTAAATTTACAGGGAATGATAGAATATCACCATTTAACAACCCCCAATGACATAATGGATCTAAGGAATGATGCTCAATGGCCACTAAAGCCATTCTGTAAGAAGACGATGAAGGTTTTACACACCAGCAACAAACAATCCAAAAGGAAACTAAGAAAGCAATCCTACTGAAAACGCTTCTAAAAGAAGCCACTAAATACTTGAGAATACACTTATCCACGGAGGTAAAGCTTTGTATGCAAAATACTGTAAAACACTGGTGAATGAGATTAAAGATCTAAATAAATGGAAAAGCATCCCATCATCATGGATAGGAAGACAGTGTTAAGATGTCAACACTATCCAAAGCAGTCTGTAGATTCAATGCACTCTCCATACAAATGTGAACAGCCTTTTTCCTAAGAAATGGGAAAGCCAATCCTAAAATTCGTATGAAATTGCAAAAACAATGTTTAAAAGAAAAATGCTGTTTTGGCTGAAGAGCCAAAACAATCTTTAAAAAGAAAAACGTTGAGGACTCATACTTCTTGATGATGAAACTTAGAATGCTACGGTAATTAAAATAGTAAGGACCAATGCGATAGAATGGAGAGCACAGAAGTTAACTCTCACATACAACATCAGGTAGGTGACTTTCAGCAAGGGTGCCAACACCACTTAATGGGTACAGAACTGTCTTTACAATAAACAGTACTAGGAAAGCTGGATATCCACATGTAAAAAGATGAAGCTGAAGTCCTTGATTTATATCATTACAAAAATTAACTCGAAGTGGATCAAAGACCTAAACTTAAGAGTTAAAACTAAAAACTGTTGCAATAAAACATTGGGGAAAATCTTCATAATATTGGATTTGGCAATTATTTCATGGAATAACAACCAAAAGCCCCGGCAACAACAAAAAATAGATAAATCGGACATTTCTCCAAAGAAGGTATAAAGATGGTCAATAAGCACATCAAAAGATGCTTGGTATCACTCATTATTCAGTTCAGTTCAGTCACTCAGTCATATCCGACTCTCTGCAACCCCATAGACTTCAACATGCCAGGGTTCCCTGTCTTTCACCACCTCCCAGAACTTGCTCAAATTCATGTCCATACCCATTAGGATGGCTATTATAAAAAAATGGAAGAAACAAGCATTGGTGAAGAGGTAGAGAAACTGGAACCCTTACACATCACCGGGGGAATGTAAAATGGTGCAGCCATTGTGAAAAACTGTTTGTTGGTACCTCAAAAATTTGAACACATAATTACCGTATAATCCAGCAATTCCACTCCTAGTTAATTACCCAGAAAAAATGAAAGCAGGGACTTGAACAGATATTTTATACCAATGCTCATAACCACCTTATTCACAATAGCCAAAAGGTGGAAACAATCCAACTGTCCCTTAGCAGATGAAGAGATACACATAATGTGGTATATACATACAGCAGAATATTATTCAACCATAAAAAAGAATGAAATTGTGATATATGTGACAACATTGATGGATCTTGAGAAATAAAAGCCAGACACAGGACACATATTACATAATTCTACTTACTTGATGTAGCCAGAATAAGCAAATTCACAGAGACAGAAAGCAGAAAAGGGGTTGCCAGGGGCTGGAGGAACGGGAGAAAGGGGAGCTACTGTTTAATGGGCGGAGTTCAGGTTTAGGGTGATGAGAATGTTTGGGGTATAGGTAGTGGTAAGGATTACACAACACTGATCTATACACTTACAAATAGTTACACTGATAAATATTACATCACATATATTTTACCACCATAAAAAAAAGGGAAGAAGAACAGGTTGATGGGGAACTTTATAATGGATAAATCAGCTTTGACAACTCTGGAGCCCTTAGATCAAAAAGGAGAGATAACCAGAGACTGATTATATTATATTCCTCCTGATGTGATGCAATAGGAAATATACATCATCCTGACTTGATATTTAATGATAATAAGGAGATATGGCTGAATTTTTAGAAGACAGAGTATTACATCTCCATTCTTTAAAAAGCTATCTTTGTTTAATGATTGTACTGAAGAATTTCCAGATGAAGTAAAAAGGGGTTATCTAGGAATTGCTTTAAAATAATACAGTGAGGAGAAAAGTGAGTAGCTGTATGAATGAATGAAGGCTGACTTTGAGATAAGAACTGCTGAAATTGGCTACTGAACATATTAAGTGTTCATTATACACCATTTCTCTTTTGACTATGTTTGAAATTTTCCATAATTAAAAAAATTAAAATGGTGCACCAGATGAATGGTACTAGAAGTGAGGAGAACAGAAAAAACATTCTATTTTCTTTATTTATTTTAACCACATGTATAAATTTTAAGAGAAAAAATTAACATGTTATATAGATGATGAATATACTTTTTTTAGATTCCAGAATATCAGGCCTAGGTGATACTTGCAATTTTAGGATATAGAAAACTTGCGGGTACTCAATGGCTAATAATCTTATGGATTTACACATATCAAAAGGTAGCAGAGATGGGGAAAATGTATGATCATATTAATGAATACATTTCAGAAGGCTTATACAAATAAATGAATAAAAAACAGAAAACTTTAAATAGTTTTTAAAGGAATTACCCATGGTTTATCTTTAAGGTATTTTCCCATAAATCCTTTACTGGTATGTTCAGACAGATCTTCCATCTAGGGGGACTACTGGTAAGTTTCAGTTACAAGCTTTTTATAACACTACACCTAGTTTCTTCTATAGGTTCTAGACACTAGAGTTTTATAAGAATGAAAAATTTTAAGTAGTACAACAGATAACTGAATTCTGTGGAAAAACCATACAGTGACCAGCTTTGCCAAAGCAACAGGAAAAACTTTTTGGCTTTAACCTAACAATATTTAATGAACATTACAAAGACCAAACCCTTTAAGCACAGTTTTCATTAACAAAGAGTATAAGTTTCTAATTTTTATCATTTCTCTTACCTTTAGAGTTGCTCCCACCCAAAAAGAGTAACAGGTGTCAACAGGCTTATTAGGCCTTCCATGATAACCATTCTGTTGTCTCATTATACACCACCTTTTTATCCTGTTCAATTCTTTTTCTGAAAAAACTTCTTCTAGTTTACCCATCAGGCACAGTGATGCAATGCCACAAAAAGTTGATCCTCCTGTTAATTAAAACCACACAGTACTTTAAACTTATTAGATGTCTAGGAAAGTAATATGAAATGATTGAAGAAAAAAAAATGGTTAAGTAATTCTAGAAAGCAGTGAAAGAAAAGTAAAATTAAAAGATAGTTTTACTTTTATATTACTATTTACTTAAATTCACTATTTAAAATAACCACTAGGCACTGAAGTCTTCAATATAAACTTGATGAAACAGAAAAAATTTTTAAATAATTTAAAAGAATCATTTTTTTAAATGAAAAATGTAAGATTTAGAAAGCAGTTCAAAATTTGATGGTTAATAGGAAGAGCTGAAACTAAAGTCTAGGACTACTATTTCCTGTCTGCCACTGTTACACGTGAGTCTGATTTTAATTCCCTTAAAAATCACAGTGTACTGTTTATGAATTAAGGTCCCATCTGCCTAAGCTACCGACTAATTTTTTCATGTAACATAAACTAGAGGCTTATATGCAGTCAGCTTCAGAAACTGAAGGAAGAAAAAGTGAAAGTGAAAGTCGCTCAGTTGTGTTCGACTCTTTGCAACCCCACGGATTATCATAATATAGTCCATGGAATTCTCCAGGCCAGAATACTGCAGTGGGTAACCTTTCCCTTCTCTAGTGGATCTTCCCAACCCAGGGATCAAACCCAGGTCTCCCACACTGCAGGCAGATTCTTTACCAGCTGAGCCACAAAGGAAGCCCTTAAGTTTATCTTAGGGGAAGCCTTAAGTTATCTTAAGGAAGAAAAGTTCCTTCAACAAAGGAATAGAAAAGGGAAAGCGAAAGAGTGTGTGTGTGTTGGGGGTGGAGAAGAAAACTCTATCTGGAAGTAGATGCGCAAATCGTATCCATGCTCACTATGCTAGACTGAAAAACGCCCCACCCGCCTTCCACCACGGCCCAGTGATACCCAGGTCCTAATCCCTAGAACACGGGCACGTTTCCTTATACGACAAAAGGGACTATGAAAACGTGATGGAAGTTAAGGATTTGAGATGGGGAGATTATTCTGGATGGGGGCCACCCTAAATGTAACCACAAGTGTCCCTGTAAGAGACGGACAGACAGAGATTAAACCACAATCAAGAAGGAGGCGATGGAAACAGAGACTCAAGTGCTGTGACGGCACACCAAAGAACGCCAGCAGTCCCCAGAGGCTGAACAAGGCGAAGGAACAGACCCCCACTGGCGCCCCCAGAAAGAGCTCACCCTGCTGACACCTTGATCTGAAGCCCTGTAAGGTGCAGTTCAGACTTCTGGCCTCTGGAGCTATGAGAACAAATCTGCATTGTCTTACACCCCTAAGTTTATTAAAATGTTATAGCATCAAAGGAACCAATTCAGTCACAAAAGTAACTACTTTCCTCAGGAAATGAAAAGTCAGTACTTTTCCACATAGGAAAAAACAAACAAAAAAATTCCACCACTTTCCATTGGCACTATTTGTTGTCAACTCCAAACAATCTGAAAATACTCCATATTTCCAATGTATTACAACTTCATCTACAGATTTTTATTAATTCTAGCTCTTTAAAAAGATTGTCCCTAATATGCCTCATTTTGCAATTCTCCTTTTGGTGTTACAAATCTTGGCTATATTCTCTGGCAAAGGAAAAGTGAGCATTCGCTCTAAAAAATGTAAGGCTGCTATCACACTAAAATGGTCACTGTCAAAAAATAAAAACAAACAAACAAATAAATAAAGGGTCACTGTAAGAACTATTTAGTCTTCAGATTTTTTTCCCAATGGGGAAAAAAAAGAGGAAGATCTATGTTAGCAATGAGTGTATTAAAACAAAAGTAAAACAAATATATCATAACCTTTTAGATTAATTTCTATTCAGCAACTATCAGTCTTATTCCTCCTTCAATGACCTACTAGTCTCAATTTCTTTTATGAAGCTGCCCATGACTTAAGTATTACACATCATTAAATATAAAGCCTCTAACAGAAAGTACATAATTTTTAAAACTAACTACACCAAGAAATAAAGAGGTATTTAATTGCTACTCTCCAAAATAATTGTTGGAATTTTTTAAAGCAAGCCAGAACAATTCAAAATAAAAATACTCTTTACTTTGGCCCAAGCAACCAAATTTTGAAAATAACAACTTCTGAAGTAAGCTTGGACTCTGAAGAGCCAAACAATAATTACAAAGTCTATGCTTTAAGCTAAAACCCACTTATCAACATTTATTCCTAACAAGTTCCTGTCTAAACAATCATAAAAAGCCAGTTCTAAAAACCTGGATTAAAAGTAGAATGTTAGAAGAGTATTAGAGGCAGACATAAAAACAGCAAAAGACAGGTAACATTCTGACAATAAGTATATTAAGAAACATTACTAAAAGGGCAGGCACAAGAACACAACCAGAATATGCTTTTAAGGCTAATTAACAGAATTAGGTCAATGATTCCTACAAGCTTCAAAAAATTTCGAGAACATCCCATCATTATATTACAGTACAATTTAAGAACTGCTTCTCATAATAATGGTCCAAATTCTAACCTTTGTTCATTATGCCTGAGTTGAAGAAGGGTTATAGGCCTGCCAAGCTATTGCTCACTTGCCCCTTGCTCACTCAGCTTTTGAGGCAGCCAAGACCTGGGTGTCTAGAGCTCCTCAGGGCACCTATGTCCTACAGATAGATGTTTTAATGTTCTTGTGTGCTGTGAGGTTAGACAGGCTGAGAAATAAATAACCTCCTTTATCGAAGGCATTAACAGTAAGAGAATATTAAGGCACAAACAAATAAGAGAAAGATTTCCAGACAAAGAATGGGATATATATATATGGTTGGTTTGCAATTCTAAAAATGAGCTGTGTTTGTGGTTGGTTTGCAATTTTAAATAGGGGGCTTATCCAAAAACACCGTTTGAGCCAGTACCTGGAGAATGTGAAGTGAAGACTGGGGTGGCAATAGCAACTGTGTCACTGGTCATCACCGCTCAGTAAGGGGAATATGCTTACAGCTGCACAAAGAGGAAAGCTGGCATCTGTAAAAACGTCTGAGAAGACGGGGTCTGAGCTCACTACTGTGAAGGACGTTAGTGGGCACCGTGGCTGAGGAGACGCTTAGCAGTGCAGGAGACTTGTAGAACAGACACCAGAAAACGAGAGCACGTTTTCCGGGATGTGAAGGAGAGACGGCCGCTCAAACCTGATACTCTCTGATGGAAAGAAAGGAGAACACGCACGCCTTCACAGAGTGCCCAAGCTCCAGTACTAATTTTTAGAAAGAGGTCTCTCTTGCCAGTGTAGCTAGGGATAAGACAAGGAGGGGAGGCTATACCAAAGCCTTCCAGAACAGTACTTCTCAGCCCGTCAGCACACAAGAACATTAAAGCATCTGTCGGACACAGTGGTGCCCCGAGGAGCTCTAGACACCCAGGTCTTGGCTGCCCCAAAAGCTGAGTGAGCAAGGAGCAAGCTTGGCAGGCCGATAACCCTTCTGCAGCATATCCGGTACCTTGGCACCCTGACAAGGAAGCCCTTCCCTCTACAGCTTTAGTCCTGAAACCTACCAATCCAAAAAGACAGGTAAAAAGGAAGATGTAAGCTTTTAGGCATGCACCACAGTTCATCAATGATGGTCTTGTTGGGTGAGTCCTACTTGAGTCAAATGGACTCAAAATCACTACTTGTGTGACTCAGCAAGACTTTTTTTCCCATCAGACAGATGACAGATTTCCTCTTTGTGCAACGGTAAGCATATTCCTCCTCACCAAGAGGTGATGACCAGTGACAACTGCCATTGCCACCGCAATCTCGTACAGACTCAGGCACACACAAGAATTAAGACGTCCTAATTACAGGGTGGCTTCAGAGGAAAACCCCAGTGCTTCATATGCCTCTCAGTGACACACGCTCTGCCAACAGCACTGAAGGAGGGCCCGGAACGTGGCAGGGAGGACAGACCCGAGAGGCCCGGCCCTGGGGAAGCACAAGCACTATGGGTGAAAAGCTTTCACACCTGCTCTATGCTTTCCAAACCAGCTTCCCTCATGTCTCTGACCGAGAAGGACGAGAGCCTCTGAGGGACTCGGTGAGGAGCCTAAGTCGCACCCCCAGTGCGAGGGCTGAGACCTGGATACAGATGTGTTCTGTCCACGCCACTGTGCTAGCAGAGGGATGGACACACCAAGTGAGCACAAAAGCATGGCTGTGAGAGAGAGGAAGTGAGTTCATTCAGAAAGCCTCCCTGACCTGAGCCCTTTTTTTTTTAAGGAGCATGGAAGTATATTTTCTTCTACATGAAAATTTTCCACTGGAAAAAGTTCCGGCTATTGATGTGCTAACAGACTGACTATTGCTCTCTTCTGGTTCTGCCAAAATTGAGGGAAAATGTGGGAGAGACTGTATTAGTGTATGTAGTGAACATGTGCCATACAGAAAAACGTTTTATCACTATGACTTAGTACAATTACATTAAAGAAGGTGGAAAAATTTTTCTTCTTCACAGATTCATTGATTCATGTTCAATATTCTGTATCTAGCTTTTTAGTATTACACCAAAAAAGAAAACTTGCTGTTTTCTAACAATTTCTTAAATCCTCCCAAGATGTTTTCATGCAGCTAACAGTTGAAAAGATTAGTAGAAAATACTGTTTGAACATTCTGGTCTGAATAATCTCTGAATGATTACTGACCTAGAAGAGGCTCAAGTTGGCACAACAGTGTCAACAGGGAGAAGTAGGAAAGAAGATAACCAGGCTGCATCAAGGGTCGGGACAAACTTCTGAGGTCCTACATGTTGAAGACACCATGATGTTATTTAAAGAAACAAGAGAAACCACACACCCACTGATTTTAAGGTGCCTTACCATGAGATTCAAGTCCAGCTCCCTGTGCCAACCCATTGTCATAGGACTGAAAAAGAAAAACATATTCAGTTAATACTGAAATAACAATAAATAAATATGCTGTCATGATGCTAATTTTTCTTCTTGATCTAATTTTATCTCTCCCTTTTATCTTTCAAAACATGTATTCTTTCCCATAATGAAATACATCTAGGCATTTTCAAATCCCTGATCTTGTCTTATTCACCAAGCTGAATCAGTAAATGCATATACACTAGGCACATTCTGAGAAGAGACTGTTCAAAGATGGCACTTACATATTTAATCTTTACCCAGTAAAAAGCCTCAACCTTTATTCCTCTCCCACTTGCAAGAGGTATGAGTTTAAGGAAAACTTATATAAGGATTTCATACTCATATATATAACATTATAAATACAAAACAAATCTGTTTTGAGACTTTTGGTTAGCTGAGGATAATGGTGCCCTACCTAAAATGTGAATTTCCCCACATATCCCACAAAATCAAAACAGCATAACAATAATACAACTAAGCAATTAGCCTTCAATTAAAAATAAATTAAAAAAATAATACAACTACATAGAACTGAAACCCTATCAAAGCTGGAAGACATGCTGAAGCTTCAAATTACCTGTCTACAGAAAACAAAACAACAAATCTCATACTCCTGATACACTTTTGCAGAGAGCAAGGGCAATTCATGAAAAAATGTGAGGAAGAAAGAGGAGCGGGGCTGTCTGAGATCACCCAAAATTACTGGCTCAAAAGGAAAGGCCTCCTTAAGTGTGAAATTATAGGAAATCCTTGTTTTGCACTCTCCCAATTATACACAAACTCCAATAGCACAGTATGCCTCACATTTCAGTAGTAACAGTACAGTAACTATGAGCAGCTGCATGCAGCACAAGCTTGCTGCTAGCCCCTCCGTCCACGAATGACTGACTGACAGAGTGCATCATGAGCTGTGGACACGCAAGTCACCTTGCGCACAGTCTCTGACCGGTCACCGTGCGGTGCTCAGCACAGCAACGTACATGGTCGTGCTGTTTCTCTGTATTAGAATGAATAACCCACGTGATGCTTGCAAAACGTTGTAACCAAAGAAAAGACTGGCCACCAAATATAAAAGTGCAGTGAAGAAACGAAAAACAGTAGCACTGAAAGTGAAATTGAGATCAAACAGAGTAGCAGAAGACATGGTTATCATGACAGTGCTGGTTGTTTGACACTAGATATGAAGGCAGAAAAATTAAGTGAAGGCGAAATTTCTACATGAATGAAGAAAGTGGCTATCATGAAAAGGAAGAAGATGTTCTAGAGAAGTGATGGTGGCAAAAACTTCACATAAAAGGAATTCTCAGGTATTTCACAACAATGGCAATGCAAAGGACGAAATGCTGGAAGTTGGTACTAACTTAGAAAGGATCATTTACCGAGACAGAAAAGATGCCTGCTCCGTACTGTAAGTTATATAATGGGAAGAAAAAGAATGCTGTTCAAACTACTCCTTATGAATTTTCTACACTTTTTCAATATTGCTAATGTTTTAAATTACAGTGTACTAACAAATATTGGTTTACCATGAAAATTTCTCTATACATTTATAACTGACAGTAACATTAATAGTTTTAAATGTTTTGGCAAAAAATTTATAAAGGTCACAGAACAAGTGTCATTCTTCCCACTGATGATTAAGATCACTTTGCATCATTTCAGCCAGCACAACCATCGTGATAGTCTGGTGTGACCAGTCAGAGCGAGGATGCCTGTACTATATACAGAGTTCTGCTAACACTGAGCACTAACCCCAGGAAAGGGGCTGAGGAGGGCATGCAGGTCAAGGTGGCGGCGTCCAAAGGGCAGAACTCCGGTGAAGACAGAAGAAAAAGGAAGAAAGAAGGGCCCTTTGAAGATCAGATAACAAAGGAAAACTCCAAGGAGCAAACTTTAAAAACCCAGGAAACAAAAAAGAACTCTCTCCTAGCAGAAAATCATAGAACTCACTATCCTTCCCCAACCACTACACAAACAAAAACACACTCTAAATTTAAAAAATCATACTTTGTTTCTCTGCACTGAAAAGATGGCACTCTTACTAAACTAGGAATTCTTGTAAGAAAAAAAAAATTCACTAATGACTAAACAGAAGACAAATCCACACAAAGGAACTCTGAATCTCTGAGATGAAAACATGGTGGTCACAATGAAAATATCTCAGTATAGGAAAATCTGCCTTCACCTCCAAAGTATGGTGAAAAGTAAAAGAAAACTAGGGTGAAGCACCCAAACTCAACTGTATACCCTCAAATAAGCACTTGGGAAATGAAAAGAGATTTAAAGTTAAAAAATGAAAAGCATAAACAGTAGGAAGAAATAAAGAAAATTAAATGATTTCAGGAAAGGACATTAAGGGACATGTAAGAGAGGCTGAAAACAACCAAGAGAATAAAAATGAGATAAAGAAGTAAGTAAAAGGAGTTGAAGAGAAAGTGGTTGAAATGAAAGATGAGCAAAGAAAGAAAATTACACAAAATTGCAGTACCTAAAGAAAAAGGAAAAACAATGGACTACAAGTAGGGGTCAGTAGTAATCTGGAGCCTGCAGGCTAAACCTGGCCTGAGGCTTGTTTTGTATAGCCCTAAACAGTCAATCTCACTCTTAATAAAATAAATGCAAATTTGGAAACATACCAAGGTATCATTTTTCACCCACCAGATTGGTAAAAATAAAAACACTGCAACAACATTCTATTGGTGAGCCTGTGTAGACACAGGCACTCTCACACACTGGTGGGAATATAAACTGGTTCATATTTTAGGAGTGAAAATGAAAATTTATGCATGCATTTACTTTTTGATCAAGCAATTCTTCTTCTAGGAATTTATTTTGAAAATATATTCCCAACAATACATAAGCAAACATGCAGAAAGGATTAGTTTCAACACTGTTCACCTTAGGAAAATACCTACCCTATGTATAGAATAGTTGGAAAAAACTATGATGTGTACATAATGGAGTGCTACAAAACTGCAAAAAAAAAAAAAGAAGAATGAGGAAAATTTTTTTGACCTGATACAGGGTGGTTTTCAAGCTATACTGTTAAGTAAAAAAAAGCAAAATGCAAAAAAGCACTCTTGAGTGAGCAAGGAGGAGGAACCAGAAACTAATGAGAACATTCACCCACAGAGTGAATGGATACATGGCGGCAGACCGGGGTTCAGGCAGAGGAAGCAGACAGGAAGGAGGGGAGCCCCTGTGAGTCACACAGTTCTGAACCTAAATTCGGACTTTCAGAAGCAAACTAATATATCACATATTAAGGAAATAAAATCCACAAAGGTGGGGGGGAGGTGAGCCTAAAGTAGAGTCCAAACAACTCTATTTCAAATAAATGACATAAACACACTAAAGGTTGGCGGTAAGGTGGTCGTGGAGGGAATAAAAAAAATCCCAAGTGTTTTTTAAATATAACATTCTGGCAATATACCTGTGGGCTCTAAGCAAAAAGAACCAATGTATTCTGGATAACAGGAGTCAGGCTTGTCACTGCCCAAGAAGGGAGTCACAGATGAAAAGGGGGAAATTAAAATGAACTGAATGGAGTTAAAAAACAAAGATCATGGCATCTGGGAAAAGTGAAAGCTGTGATAGATTTTCTTTTCTTGGGCCCACAAAAATCACTGAGGATGGTTACTGCAGCCACAAAATTAAAAAACGCTTGCTCCTTGGAAGAAAAGCTAATGACAAACCTAGATGAGTAGGTCAAAAAGCAGAGACACCTCACTTTGCCTACAAAGGTCTGTATAATCAACCCTATGCTTTTTCCAGGAGTCATAGAAGATGTGAGAGTTGGACCATAAACAAGGCTGAATGCCAAGTAATTGATGGTTTTGAACTGTGGTGCTGGAGAAGACTCGAGAGTCTCTTAGGATGCAAGGAGATCAAACCAGTCAATCCTATTTGAATATTTGTTGGAAAGACTCATGTTGAAGCTGAAGCTCCATTACTTTGGCCACCTGATGAGAAAAGCGGACTCACTGGAAAAGATTCTGATGCTGGGAAAGATTGAAGGCAAAAGAAGAGGGCCGCAGAGAATGAGATGGTTAGATAGCACCACTGGCTCAATGGATATGAATCTGAGCAAACTCTGGGTGATACTGGAGGACAGAGGAACTTGGCATGACCGTCCATGGGGGCCGCAAAGGGTCTTAGCGACTGAACAGATGGTGTTGGATTAAAATGAGGTATTAGTATGAACGCGGGCTTCCCTGGTGGCTCAGACGGTAAAGAATCTGCCTGCAATGCAGGGGACCTGGGTTCAAGTCCTGGGTGGGGAAGATCTCCTGGAGATCTTCCAGTGAAGAATACCCACTCCTGTATTCTTGCCTGGAGAATTCCATGGACAGAGGAGCCTGGCAGGCTAAAGCCCATGAGGTCAGAAAGAGTCAGACATGACTAAGCAACTTTCATCATTTCATTAGCATGAATTCATGGTTTTTGTGATAAATAGATAGAAATGTGTGGATGTGTGTAAGGGGGCTTTCTGTGCATACATATATACATTTCCTACCTCTGAGACAGGGGCTAGAAGCAATGACATCCTAGTACCAATGAGCACATTTTGTGCCCAAATCCTGGTTTCTAAACACCACCCTTCAAAAAGAAGAACCAGAACTTCTTGAAGAAATCACCAATTTTAGAACTTAGGCTGGGAAATTAAACTATGAACCCAGAATATTTTGTGCCAGAGAGCAAGGACGTGCTCAAAAATGAACGGAACACGTCAAAAGGTCATAAGAGCCTGCATGAAGGGGGTTTTGCTTGCTGAATCTGGGACAGCATCAAAATAAATGATCAGTTCAGTTCAGTTCAGTTGCTCAGTCGTGTCCGACTCTTTGTGACCCCATGGACTGCAGCACGCCAGGCCTCTCTGTCCATCACCAACTCCCAGAGTCCATCCAAACCCACGTCCATTGAGTCGGTGATGCCATCCAACCATCTCATCCTGTCGTCCCCTTCTCCTCCTGCCCTCAGTCTTTCCCAGCATCAGGGTCTTTTCAAATGAGTGATAGTTACAGATAATAACCCACTGAATCAAACAAGAACCTAGATTTCCTGTTGAAATTAAATAAATAAATAGATAAAGGTGAAAGAAAAGCTTTTTGTAGCAGCAGAATTTTAACTGATAATTACAGAATGAATGGTAGAGCTAGAAAATCAATGCACACTAACACTAGAGGATAAAAGTTTGATGAGGGACAGGAAATTTACATAGGCTCCAAGTATCTTACCATGAGATACTAAATATGATCACAAACGGAAAAAACGCTAACTTTATAGAGAAACATCTGGCATACACCAACTTAACCAAGTGATCAAAGTTAACATCACCAATAAGGAGTATCAACAAGTTGTACCTCCAAATACAATGCACTAAGAAGAACGTGGTATTACTTCTACAATAATCATGCCACAATGCCTATCACTGTTAGGGAAATAGGGGAAAGTCTTGTTCAGGCTTCAGAAGCAGGAGAGCAGCCCTCTGACTTGCTCTGACCTGCGCGGACACTGCCTGGATTCCTTGCCTGCTGGCAAGCACAGGAAGTCAGGCAGCACTTTAGATTAGAAAGGGAGTTCATCTTGAAATTCTTGAGCCCCTGATGGTCTGGCAACCCCTGCCCCCTCCCCAGAGGGTTTAATGGAATTCTATAACTCATAAGGTGAAACAAATCTTTCCATATTGTAGGAAGATTAAAGTAAAACCATACCTGCATTTTTGCACACAAACTGATACAAACTGATACTGCTATCAGCTTGTGGCCTAGGATTATAAGCAGGAGCCCCTGAAACTGCGATTTGAAGTCTCACTGGTGGGTGGATGCACCTCCCCTGGACCCTTTCTCAACTGGGCCTCCAGACTGCTGTTAACAAGGGACTTCCTAGTGCTGTTCAAGTCTGGATGTAGCTCAGCCCAATTTGGTGATGTATGCACTGTTACTTCTCTCTATTGTTTATATTTCTTTCCAAATTATCTTTCTTCTATAAAAAATTGAAATTGTTTGTGTGTGTAACAATGGTTTCTTTGGCTAACGAATCCTTTGAATTGAAAACAAAAGTAAAACTTTTGGCAAAACAATCACCCATCTTTGTCTATAACATCAAACTCCTTTTGTCTTAAAACTTCTTTAAAGGTTTGCTCTTTCTGCCTTCCGAGGCTTTAAAAAATTTGTGCTATTGTATATTCTGAAAATTCTGATTTACATATTTAATTAAAAATAACTCTACTCCTCTAAGAACTTACATTTCCACTCTGAAATATGGACTAGTAAAAGCTGAATTAACAGTCTAAAATATTTTAATCTATAAAATAAAAATTTGATATTTAGTAAGTAAAATAAACCTGGGAAGCAGCACTTCTATTACTCTGATTTTATACAAAAGACTAAAAAGTAGAGCAAATGGTATTTCCAGCTGAGACTAAGGTTTCCTTACTATTGTTGATAAAAAAAAAAGAATAACTATATTGTGTGGAAGAATAACATTTCTACTTGATACTCTCCTTAAACCTTAGATTTAAAAAAAAACCCACACATAAAACTATTTAGAAACCAAAAGTGATGCAAGAATCTATTGTCAGCCCAATCTTGCTACTTGAAATGGCTTAAGGAACCCACATCTCACACCCGACATATAGGAATAAACTCACCATGTGAAGTGAAGTGAAGTCGCTCAGTTATTTCCAACTCTTTGCGATCCCATAGACTGTAGCCTACCGTCCTCCATCTATGGGATTCTCCAGGCAAGAATACTGGAGTGGGTTGCCATTTCCTTCTCCAAAGAAAAAATCTCACCAAGGGAACCACAATTCTCCTTTAAGTTTGGCTGTGACTTCTCAAGGACCCCTACTAGGGTAGGCTACCAACATTTACTTTGAGATTTTACCGTTTTTTGCTTCCAAGGCTGACCAATTTCTTTCCACTAAAGACACTGTTTCTTTGGAAACAATCAGATTATATTTAAAATTTAATGGCTAAAGAGTCAATCTCTCCTTGAAGATTATTTTTACATGGCTATTCTGATATATGATGTGCCTAGAAAGCAATCTTATTACCCTATTTCCAAATTACTGCTATTAATAGAAGAGATGAGGCATGCCCCAGCTCTCATCATCATGTCCGACTCTTTGCGACCTCATGGACTGCACCACGCTGGGCTTCCCTGTCCCATCACCAACTCCCGTAGCTTACTCAAACTTATGTCCATCGAGTCAGTGATGCCATCCAACCGTTTCATCCTCTGTCATCCCCTTCTCCTCCCAGCTCTCCTATATCAGCAACAATAACTGAGAGAGAGTCACTATCAACATAACTCACCATACTTCTTCTAATATAGCTGATAGCCTTTTTCATATCCATGCCAGACCAGTTGTTGAGCATATAGCAGATACAGGAAGCACAGTATACAAATCGCATGTCATTTTCACTGCCTTCAGGTACTGCACAAAAACTGAAAGTAAGAACAACATGATTTACTGTACTGTAATTTGTTTATTTGTACGGGGGGCTATTTAGAAACAGCCACTTCATGTTTTCACTCACAGAAAAACCTATCACTAACTAACAATTGGATTTAAAAATCATATACTACTTGTATTATTCAGTGAAAAATAGGACTATTAACTTGAATGCTATAAAACTACCCCTAAATCGCCACTCTGCTCCGAAGTTCTGTCGTCTGGGGAGCTTAACCCGCGATGGCAGCTACTGCTCCCCAGAGCCACCACTCTCCGCCACGGAGAGCTGTGGCGCAGCGGTCTGAGAATCCATGACAGAGACAGGAGCAGGTGAAAACTGGGAGCTGTTGGTTTTGCCTATGCACAATTTCTTCTCGATGTATATATAGATAGCCAATATGATAACTGATCATATTGTTTTAATTTTTACCTGTAATTAGTTTTAGAGAAGTATATAGTAGTGTTTCATGTCTATTCTTTTATTATAAACAAGGGTAAGATAGCAGTAACCAAAGACTATAGTGAAATACTGAGAAATTAGTGACATGTACTTGCTGAGTTAAGTATTTAGTTTTATAGTATTTCCAATTAACATCAATTTATCTTACATGTTTCCATTAATTTTCCCCTCATCAAGAGCAGTGTTTTTAAAATAATGACAGGAAAACAGAGACAATAGTAGAGAGAACATAGATATAACATGGCAGGATCTGTTTGCCAAGTTTTCTCTTTAGACAGAATCACTACTGCTTTATTACTTTCAAGATTTAAAAAAATGTTTCACCTTAAAATTTTTTTGTTAGACCAATGACTCAAATCATCAAATATTAATGAACTCACTAACTTCTTTTCCTAACCTTTAAAAATATAGAAACTATCTACACTAGAATATAATATTCAACATTCATCCCTTTTCCCCCCTATAACTACCTTCAGGCATAAAAGTTTACACTAAATAAACTTTTAAAACATTGAGATTAAATGTATGTCTGCTTCAAAATGTTAATTTTTTACCCAGAAGGTAAATTAAAGTAGATCCTAATCCTGAAACTATTAAACCACTTATTTATGGATCACTTATTGTCTCCTTTAAAAAAAAAAAAGAAATAAAAATGGAGTCCTATTATTCTGATTACTTTTATTTTCATTCATATAAGAAATATTTCATTGATTAGGCACTTAAACCATATTATACAGTGAACTTTTAGGTGGTTGGAATAAGAATTTATGACAAATTCTATAGGTCTACTATAGTACTATATTCATTTTTAGTTTCAAAAGATTTTTCTTTAAAAAAAAAAAAAAAACCAAAGAGAGAGAGAGACAAGTAACAAAAAATGACCTGTACCTTCCATCTTCTAGCTGAAGGGCTCTCAAGCCTGCTAAGCAAGCTTCTTTATTTACCCGGCTTAGGTCGTCTCCAAGAATAACTAGGCATGAAAGGCCAGTGTAGGTCATTGCTATGTGGCCACTATCGTAAGGATGAGCAGTTCCAGGATTCTAGATTCAAAATTAATATAATGTTAATTAGAAAGCTGAAATGAAATCTTACCCCATCATATAATTTGACAAGAAGTTTCGGTAAACAGTAAAATCAAATGTTGTTTTTACTGACTTGTATAGACATCTGGTAGAGAAAAATAAAACTCAATTTCATGTATGTCTCAACATAAGTATTACTGCATACTATCCAGGCACGTAATTTTAAAATTTATCCTTAAGCTTTATGGAAGTAGATCTGATATTCAAATAAACCAAATTATTTAAACTTTCTATTTGATCAACCAGATCAATTATAATTTATGCCTTATATAGTTAAAAAAGCATGTAGAAATAATTATTTTATGCCATACAAATTCAAATGAAGTATACCACAGTAGTAATTACCATTTAAAAATAATACAAAACAATATAGTTGAAAAATCTTTTCCTATTCTCATATAGTTGAATTATTTGACTTTCTAATAACATTAACACTTAGAATAGCAAATAACAAAAAAATGCAAAGGCTTAAGATACTAACATTGAAAAATTCTCTAGGATAAAATAATCTAACTTTTAAAGTTTAGATCGCAAATGAATACTGACTGTAAAAAGTGTTTTGTGAAGCCTGTTAAGACTAGTAATCGCCTAGCAGAGCTGGGGAGTCAAACTAGGAGACTCATGTTACCAAAACATGTACTGAACTAATCTCACTGATGTCACGGTTCCAACAAAACTACAAAAGTTATCAAAAATCTCTTAAGGTTTATAAAATATGTGACTCCTTGTAGGAAACCCTGTAGACTCCAGTTGGCACAGACATAGATAAAATTAACTTAAAAAACTTGTTAAAATAAAAGTAAAAATGTAAAGCCAAGTAACAAGACTGCACAATACACAAAGCACTTAGTTTTATAATTATTTTCAAATAGCCAGTCCTATTAACTAGTTATTTTAAAAAGCTAATTTCACTTAAAAAATGCAAAATTTCACATTGTACTAATTTATCTCTCTGTTAAGAAAGTTTTGATTTTTGACAGACTAAGAGTACCTTTTAAATTCATCCTTCTCATAGGCTTTCCTTCTGTTTTAGTTGGGCTCATCAATAACTGCTTCAAATACCTGAGTAACTGCTCAAAATACTACAAAGTTAAAATGAATCTTATACAAAGATTTTGGTTAAAATAGATTCCATTGCTTTCTACAATAAATGTTAACCTCTACACTACTGAAAGGCATCAAATCCTGGCTCTATTACTCACTGGCTTGCCTCATTCTGAAAAATGGAGATATTAGTATCCACTTCACAGGGTTACTGTGAAGATTAAATAAAGTTACTATCTATACAGATGCTAGTTATCTTACTGATGATGATGCAAGTGCAAGGCAAATATCAAAAGGGCCACTACTTCTTTGGAGTCATGACCCAAGGGTCTTAGAACCACCAGTGACTTAATCAGAACACTTACCTGCTCACTGACCTTCTATAATTCTTTACAGAATAAGTCTGCAAGGTGTTCAAATATCCTCTAAATCTGAACTCACCCCACCTATCCAGTCTTACATATACAACTTTTTATATGGTCTCACAAATATGACAAGCAAATCTTCATTGTGGTAATTCTTCCATTCTGAGTTCCTCCCTAGAACTTAAGCTCTAATATGCCTGGATATTCTATTCCACATTTATAACTGACTTCTTAGAATTATTTTTTGGTTGCTGTTGTTGTTCAGCTGCCAAGTTATGTCAGACTCTGAAACCCCACGAACTGCAAGATGCCAGGTTTCCTTGTCCTTCACCATCTCCTGGAGTTTGATCAAACTCAATGCCCACAAGTCAGTGATGCCATCTCATCCTGTCGCCCCCTTCTCCTCTTGCTCTTAATCTTTCCCAGCATCAGGGTCTTTTCCAATAAACCGGCTCTTCGCATCAGTTGGCCAAAGTATTGGAGCTTACATAAACTAAATATCTGCTACGTTAGAAGCACTGTGGCGAATCCAAACATAAATCAAACGTGTACCTTAATCTTGAAGGCAGAAGAGTGGTCTATTTGAATAAGTACAGTACAAAATAGGATGCAATCAGTGTCATGATGGAAATACAACAATACATGGATAAAAGATTTTTTTTCTGCAGGATGAGAGAAGCTTGGTTAGGTACAGATGAAGAGGGGGCTTTAGGTAGGAGAAAAAGTAAAAGTAAAGCAGAGAAGGAAAAATCCTGGCCATGTAGTATGTGTTAAGGATAGTACATAGTTTCAAAGATAATACGGGATTTGTTGGAAGAAAAACAGTGAGAAAAGGGGGTTGAGAGGACCCATCAGTGTTTCTCAAAAAGTGTTCTATGGTCACTAGCGGCCCTGAGCATTTTTCAGATAAGTCAATGGCCTACAGGTGGTTTTAGAAGAAAAACTGATGGTATTATTTTATTTATATACTATATTAGAAAATCTTATTGCTTCCTCAGGTTCTCTTGGTTTCATCCCTCTCCTGGATTCTCAGCCACCACCCTAACATACAACTCCTTGTTGGCCCCTATGAGTCCACCAGAGCCTCTAGCTTCTTCTATCATTCAACATTCAGATTAACGCAACATAGAATGGAGTGGGACCCAGCTTCCCCAGAAAAAGCCTAGGTACCAATGAATTAAATTCAGCCATAATTGGGTTTTAGGAGACTCTGTGAACCAAAGGCAAAAAAGTTTCTTCTTAAACTTTATTCTTGTTAATTCAAATATGATTTGGGAAAGGAGTGAGGGGGAAAAGGAAGCTGCTTCCTTAAAGTAATGTTATCAAAGAACTGTTTTACTCCAACAAGTGTAGGTATACATCTGTATAGGGTATAGTGTGGTGTAATGGTCATTATTATCAGGGTCATGACTTATAGATACCCTGTCCATTATGACTAAATGCAGAGCTATCTCTATTTAGCACTGTCTTAAGTTGCAAAGTATTTAATGCATCATATAGAAAGAACAATTTTTACGGATCTTTTTTTCTAGATTATCTAATAAAAGCAATGGGCATACGTGATTGGAGATACTTTAGTGAAGTCATATGAGTTTCACATAGGCATGCTTGTCTACAGCTTAAGGCAAAGGAAGAAAGCTGAAGTGATGCCTCTGTCAAATCATGTCACCTCCTCCAAAACCACTGCTATTTATTCCAAAATTTTGAAGCAGAGTATGGAAAAACTGGTAGCATGCCATTTACCTTCAGTTTGGAACCAGATACAAATCTTGATGCACTCAGTGTAGCCAGATATTGGCTTGTAACCATTATATAAGCAGGCTGATCCCATCTAGGAAAAAATTTCTATTTTGTGAGGTCTTCTTCCACAAAATGATGAAGCTTTTCTCTGCTTTCTATTGTAGAAAAATACTTCGTACACAGAAGAAATACCTAAAAAAGCTTGTTTGGGGTCTAACTCTTTGAAGAAGGAAAAAAGCTTGTCAGGACTCACAGATTTTCTATACCTGCATGTACTAGTACCAAAGTCCTGCCTGAAACCTTGGAGACAACCTGCCTCTGTCATGAAGGTCATCATAATTCATCACTACTTGGGCCTCGAATCAGTGCCTTAGCAAGAACGTTTTCTTTCATTCCTAAGAAATGTGAACCAAATATAAAGTCCTACTGTAACCCATGGAACGTTTCTTAGAGAACAAATGTACTCCAGTACTTTATTTCCATTTTCTCCAGGAAATCACCGATAATTTGTACACACACATAGGCGCAATAGCAACAAAACCATAATTTTTGTAACAACAGGAATTCCTGTGGGCTTATATACTGTGCATTATTTCAGGAAGTAGGGTGGGTACAGCTTTCCCTTAAAAAGTTACAGTTCGTAAAACACATTTATTTAGCTACACTAAAACTTGGAAACCTGGTTCTTTCTATATACTTTCTTAGTTTTCTTTCTTACTAAAATCTCTACACTCCCCCTCCTCTTTCCTTCTAATCCAAACAGGACTAACCTTTGATGGATTGAATGGAATACCCAGGTAAGAAGAGCCTCGGAAACCACAGCGATTTAGATTTGATCCTGGAAAGTAAAAACATGTACTTTTAAAGTGTACCTTATTTTCACACAGATTCTAATGCAATTCAATTATACAATCTCTCAGAAAAAGCATATTTTAGTACCAAAGCTTTGTCACTATCTCTTATCTCCATTTTCATGCTACCTAAAGCTGAATGTCTGCTCTAGGAGCTTTACGCGGATTTCTTCATTTAACTTCCAAACCAGTCCAAACCAAAATATGACTTCCTACCAGATACTTTTAATTTCAGCCTATGTCACTGAGTTCAAAATGTTTTCCTACCATTTCTAAATGACGATTTTTCATGTGATCAACATATTCAACCTCTCATACTATAGAACTGAAAGCAGAAGCACTGATAATAAGTGACATGTTCAAAGTAATAGCTGGTTAGCAACACAAATAGTCCCATCCAGTGTCTTTTACTTTAACTCACAGCTTCTTTACAGGGGAGAAAGGTTTAGGTATAAACTGTTCTACAGTTGCAGAAAATAAATGTACTTTACATTTTAGTATTAGATAGTCCTTCATTTTAAGTACAATACTTTGCTTTGTACAAAAGAACACTGAAGTAATAACTTGGTATCTGCTTATTCAGAGCATGTTTAATCACATAGATATTTTTCCTACCTAAAATTTTTCATTTTTCAAGATATCAGTGGAATATAACTGGGAACCTAAGAAAGAAAATAGCTACATCCATGAAAGGAATTCTTGTGCACTACTGATGGGAATGTAAACTGTTGTAGCCACGTAAAAAATTAAGACTAGAACCACCATGTGATCCAGCAATTTCACTTTTGGGTATATATATATTTTTAAAAATGGCATCATTATATCAAACAAATTATCTGTACTCCCATGTTCATTGCATTATTCACAATACTCCAGACATGGAAACAACGTTAAGGGTCCAACTATGAAGGAATGGATAGAAAAAATGTGAGGTATCTATAGACAAATATATATATATATATATACACATACATACATATATATATATATATCACACAAACCCACAGGGAGTGTGACTCAGCCATCAAAAGATGGAAATTTTGTTTCTTGCAACAATATGGATGAGCCTAAAGGGCATTCAGTTCAGTTCAGTCACTCAGCCGTGTCCGACTCTTTGCGACCCCATGAATCGCAGCACGCCAGGCCTCCCTGTCCATCACCAACTTCCAGAGCTTACTCAAACTCATGCCCATTGAGTCAGTGATGCCATCCAACCATCTCATTCTCTGTTGTCCCCTTCGCCTCCTGCCCTCAATCTTTCCCAGCATCTGGGTCTTTTCAAAGGAGTCAGCTCTTCCCATTAGGTGGCCAAAGTATTGGAGTTTCAGCTTCAGCATCAGTCCTTTCAATGAATATTCAGGACTGATTTCCTTTAGGATGGAATGGTTGGATCTCCTTGCAGTCCAAGGGACTCTCAAGAGTCTTCTCCAACATCACAGTTCGAAAGCGTTCAGCGCTCAGCTTTCTTTATAGTCCAACTCTCACATTCATACATGACCACTGGAAAAACCATAGCGTTGACTAGACAGATCTTGTTGGCAAAGTAATGCCTTGAGAACCCCATGAACAGCATGAAAAGGGCATCACACTAAGTGAAATAAACCAGACAGAGAAAGACATACAGTGCATGTTCTTACTTACATATAGTAATTCAAACAAGCTGAACTCAGAGACAGGAAAATAGTAGTTGTCAGGGCTGGCAGGGAAGATTCTGGCCAAAGGGTACAAACTCTGAACTGTAAGTTGAATAGGTTCTGGGGATCTAATGTATGTATAGCATGGTGATTGTACTGAACAATACTATATTGTATCCTTGTAAGTTAATAAGACCTTCAGTAGCAGAACTTAAACTTTATCACCACACACACAAAAAGGGAATTCTGAGGGGAATGGAGCTGCTAACTAGCCTTATTGTGGTAATCATTTCACAGTGTATATGTACATCAAATAATCATGCTGTACATCTTAAACTTACATATACGTCAGTAGTATCTCCAAAGTGTTGGAAAGTAATTCAAAAGTATAAACCAAAAAAATGGTCATACCCACATTAAAAAGATAAGTGTGGTTTTAAGAACTATTAGAAAATCAGCATGACAGAAATAGAAGGTAGGAATGTAGTTAACAACAGACTGTATATGCATTGCTATTAAAAAAAAAAATCAAGCTGACAAACTATTTACAATAGCTAGAACATGGAAGCAACCTAGATATTCATCATCAGATGAATGGATAAAGAAGTTGTGGTACATATACACAATTGAATATTACTCAGCCATAAAAAGGAACACATTTGAGTCAGTGCTAATGAGGTGGATGAACCTGGAGTCTATTATACAGAGTGAAGTAAGTCAGAAAGAGAAAAACAAATACTGTATATTCATGAATATATATGGAGTTTAGAAAGATGGTACTGATGAACCTATTTATCGGGCAACAATGGAGATGCAGACATGGAGAGGAGACTTATGGACATGGACTGGGGGAGGAGGAGAGGGCAGGACGAATGGAGAGAGGAACATGGAAACACAGACACTTCCGTGTGTAAAGCAGATAACCAGTGGGAATGTGCTGCATGACTCAGGGAACTCAAACCAGGGCTCTGGGACACAGGTGGGGAAGGGGGTGAGGTGGGAGGAAGGCTCCAGAGGGTTGGGACACACGCACACCTGTGGCTGATTCATGCTGACATATGGCAGAAACGAACACAATATTGTGAAGCAATTTTCCTTCAATTAAAAATAGGTGAGTTTAAACACTGGTTCTGAGGTGAGGAACTAGCTTCACATCCCTATGACTGGTACATGACTAATCGTAATTGGTTTTCAGGTACCAGACACTATAACAGGGCTTCCCTGATATATCTGTTGGTAAAAAATCCGCCTGCAATGCAGGAGACCCTGGTTTGATTCCTGGGTTAAGAAGATCTGCTGGAGAAGGGATAGGCTACCCACCTCAGTATTCTTGGACTTCCCTTGTGGCTCAGAGGGTAAAGAATCCACTTGCAATGCAAGAGACCTGGGTTCAATCCCCTGGAGAAGGGAAAGGCTACCCACTCCAGTATTCTGGGCTGGAGAATTCCATGGACTATATAGTCCATGGGGTCGCAAAGAGTCAAACACGACTGCCGACTCTCCCTTTCACACTATTCAATTTTATATCTCCTGAAATACTTAGAATAGTAGCTTATACATTAATTCTCTAGGTAATTTAGGAAACTTCTTCCCTAAATTTAAAACTCTGCACCAAGAATCTTCCTTCATTAACAACAACAACAAAAAAATTAACTTAAAAATGAATACTATCTAATGGTGATGATTTTGATGAACACGGTTCTCTTACTTTTTGCTAAAGACTTTTTGAAGCGACACAAAAGTCCAATGGGTTCAATATATAACATATTGTATCTATTCAAAGAAAAGCAATATATCTACTCTATTAAAAGCAATGATTTGGAAAAATTGCATAGTAACACAGAGAAATAAATATGATTAAGAGAAAAGCAGGATACAAAAATATATGGGCACTATGTTTATAATTAGGTGAAGTGTACTTATCATCAAAGCTTCAAAGGGAATAAATACAGTATTTTATAGGATATGAATAAAGCTGAATGTTGTCTTTATTTGTCACTGTTGTCATCACAAATTACCACAAACTTAGCAACTTAAAACAACACTCATTTATTGTCCCACAGTTCTGTAAGGTCAGAAGTCCAAGGTAGGTCTCCCTAGGCTAAAATATCTACCTGTTGGTAGGGCTACATTCCTTATTGCAGGTGGTGGGGAACAAACCTTCCTCTGGGCAGAAGTAAGTTCCCTGCAGTTGGAAGACTCAGGTCTCTATTCCCTTGCCAGATGTCAGCTAGGGCACGCCCTCACCCCCCAGAGGGCACTCTTGCCACTTCCTGCGTCTGGGCTGGTGTCTCAGAATACAGCAATGGGGCCCAGATCCTTATGCTTAGACTCGCCCTAGTTTCCCCGTTCTGCAGCATCTCTCTTGTCCTCCTTCCCTGCACTTTTCTCTTTCTCGTTTGTCTTCTGTAATAAGGGCTTCTGTGGTTATACTGTGACTGTATGTATAACAACCAAAGGACAACCTCCATATTTTAAGATCAGCGATTTAGTACCCTTAACTTCATCTGCAGCATCTGTAGTACCCAGATTAGTGCTTGACTGAAAAACCAGGCAACAGGAATTATGGAGGGAGAGGAGGTGACATCTTCAGAATTCTGCCTAATACTCTTTCCATACTCCAAACTGGATGTAACATTGTATTTTTTTAATCAAAAATAAATTATCCCTTCCTTTCCAAGCCACGAGTGCCTTTATCCTTTTAGTGTCACTTGTTTTAATCCATCTTGAATTGGGTGAGGGGTAATGTTAAACGATATATTTTCCTAGGTCCTGTATTTTATCTGAACCCTAAAATGTTTTTACTATTATTACCTAAATTTTTGCAATCAGCCTTTGGATTGCCTTTTTAAAAGTTATCCTTTCAAGCTACTGATCCGCTGACAGTTCTCTAAGAAAATCAAATCCTATTTCTACTTTTGATGAAAGAAAGATCTGATTCCTTCTAGAGCCCCCACTAAGTCAGTTTCATATCGAGGCTGACATATAGTAGGGGCTTGAGAAAGGAAAGTTTCTTTAAAATAAAAATATCCTATCTTCCATTTTCAAAACGGAGTACACATCATCATCTTAAAAAATTCATCAGGCCATTCTTTCTGGTTCCTATCACGATCTGTCTGCTATTGTGAATTCTTTTACAATGATAGTAAGCTTACCTATTTATGATAACTATTCAAGTAAAAACATGAAATTTATTCCAAATTTACAACTGAATACATATTCAGGATAAAGTTTAAACTTCTTTGGAGGATTTTAGATAGCGCCCTCCAGTGTTCCTATTCAGTACTAGCAAAGAAAATGTGGTCTGGCTGATGAACATTATCAAGTCTAGTTAGGAAAAATGTAGACGCTTT